ACTACTACTACTACTACTACTACTACTACTACTACTACTACTACTACTACTACTACTACTACTACTACTACTACTACTACTACTACTACTACTACTACTACTACTACTACTACTAACGACTACTGCTACTACTACTACTACTACTACTACTACTACTACTACTACTACTACTACTACTACTACTACTACTACTACCTACTACTACTACTACTACCTACTACTACTACTACTACTACTACTACTACTACTACTGCTACTACTGCTACTGGTAGTAATACTAATACTACTGCTACTGCTGCTGATGCTACTACTAAGACTACGACTACGACTACGAATACGACGACTACTACTACTAAAAACACTAAAACGACCACTACTACTTTTGCTACTACTACTACTACCACTACTACTACTACGCCTACTGCTGCAACTGCTCGTACCACTACTACTACTACTACTACTACTACTACTACCACTCCTACTACTACTACTACTACTACTACTACTACTACTACTACTACTACTACAACTACTGCTACTGCTACGACTACTACTACGACGACTACGACTACGACTACGACGACGACGACGAAGACGACGACCATTAGTACTACGACTACTACTGCTAGTACTACTACTACTACTACTACTACTACTACGACTGCTTCGACTACTTCTACTACTAGTACTAGTACTAGTACTACTACTACTACTACTACTACTACTACTACTACTACTACTACTCCTACTACTACTCCTACTCCTACTCCTACTCCTACTCCTACTCCTACTCCTACTCCTACTCCTACTACTACTACTACTACTACTACTACTACCACTACTACTACTACTACTACTACTACTACTACTACTACTACTACTACTACGACTACCACTACCACACTACTGTTACTAGTACCTCTGCGACTACTACACCTGCTACTACGCCTACGACTACTACTATGTCTCCTACTTCTGCTTCTACTACTAGTACTACTACGACTCCTCCTACTACTACTACTACTACTACTACTACTACCACTACTACTACTACTGCTACTACTACTACTACTACTACTACTACTACTACTGCTACTACTGCTACTACTGCTACTACTGCTACTACTGCTACTACTGCTACCACTACTACTAACAATATGATACCAGAGAAAAACCCCAATCAGAATTTCGGGGGGAGTGTGGGGCTTTAGGGCTTTAGGGCTTTAGAGCTATAGGGCTATGGGACGATGTGGCCATAGGGATATAGGGCTAGAAGCCTTCAGGGTTATGGGGCTATACGGCTACAGGGCTATAGGGCTATAGGGCTAAGGGCTATAAGGCTATTCGGGCTATAGGGCTATATACGGATATAAGGCTTTAGGACCATAGGGCTATAGGGCTATAGGGCTATAGGGCTATAGGGCTATAGGGCTATAGGGCTATAGGTTTATGGGGCTATGGGGCTATTGGGCTATTGGGCCATTGGGCTATAGGACTATCGGAGGTGAGGGGGTGAGATCGAAGTGGAACGGCGAGCCCCCCACGGGGAAATCGGTTTCGGTTTCGTGTTCGTGCGTGCCGCGCGTGCGAGGCGAAGCTGCGTGGGCGGGCGAGAAAAAGTCTGCTGCGGCTGAGGCGCGGCCGGACCAAATGTTTCTCTTCCGCGGCGCGGGGCCCCGCGGTGTCCCGCCGGTGTCCCGCGGTGTCCTCGTGTGGCTGAGGCGCGGCCGGACCAAATGTTTCTCATCCGGGGCGCGGGGCCCCGCGGTGTCCCGCCGGTGTCCCGCGGTGTCTCGCGGTGTCCCGCGATGTCCCGCGGTGTCCCGCGGTGTCTCGCCGGTGTCCCGCGGTGTCCCGCGAGGATGATGATGATGATGAGATGATGATGATGATGATGATGATGATGATGATGATGATGATGATGATGATGAGATGATGGTGGTGTCTCGATGAAGATGATGATGATGATGATGTAGATGATAGTGTCGATGATGATGATGATGATGGTGTCCCGATGATGAGGATGATGATGCTCATGGTGATTATGTTGATGATGATGACGATGATGGTGTCCCGATGATGATGATGATGATGACTCCGATGATGTTGGTGATGAAGATGTTGATGGAAATGGTGTCCCGGCGATAATGATGTTGATGATGATGTTGTTGATGATGATTATGGTGTCCCGAAGGTGATGCTGATGATGATGGTGATGGTGATGATGGTGATGCTGATGGTGTCCCGATGATGCTAATAATGATAAAGACGATGTTGATGATGATGATGCTCATGATGATGGTGCCCCAATGATGATGATGATGTTGTTGATGATGCTGATGTCGATGATGATGATGATGCGATGATCATGATGATGATGATGGTGCCCCGAGGATGATGACGATGTTGATGAAAATGTTGATGATGAGAACGATGGTGATCATGATGGTGTCCCGATTATGATGATGATGATTCTGAGGATGCTGCTGGTGATGATGAC